CCAGTGGCTCTGATATACTTTTGGTACACTTATTTTTGTAGCTCACCTAAACCCCTGGTATGTCAAAAATAAACCATAAAACATGTTCTATTCACCCTATGCTAATGTAGATCCACATGTGTTCCCACTGAAATATGGTGAAATTAGGTGCAGGGCTGAGCTAGAAGCAGCTTAATCTGATTGAAGTGAACTGGCTGTTCCAGTGACAACTGATTCCCAAGCACCTCATTCCAGCTGTCCTCCCCAGGAGGCTGTACTCACCCCAGCCACCCTGGGACCAGCTCAGAGGCACAACAGAACTCAGCCAGAGCAGGGACTTTGGGGCCAAGAGCCAGCAAGGGAAGACAAGGACAATCTTCTGCTTCTTCCCTTTCTTTGGTACTCCTCTGATCTTTGGTACTTCTCTCATCTTGTTGTGCTAGACAGAGGATGAGGGGGAAAGAAAAGCCAGTCTTCCTACAACATGAGCTACTGCAAATATGAGTCTCACACTTGATGGATCAGCCATGCTCCTGCTGTTTGTCATCAAAGGTGGGAGAGCTGCTGCAGAGTGAGAATAAGCAATGATGGCAATTGCTGCAGGAGGGCTTGGGAACCAGTCACACTTTAAATCTAAAGGTATGAGAAAGAAATCTAAAGAATGAGAAGGGGAAGGGAAGGAAAGCTGATCCAAGGACCTGCAGCAGGTGGGTGAAAACAAAGGAACTGTTCTGCACAAAGGAAGGGCTTGTTGCAGAAGGCATCAGACCTGCAGAAGGCTTTCCAACTTCTTTTATCTTGTCTCTGCACTCTGTGCTTCCCTTGTGCCTCCTCATACTGACGTCTGAGCTCTGCCCATCACAGAAAGTCTATCATGGTTTATTGATTTATTTGTTCACAGCACAAAATTACAGCCTGGTCTGCCAGATCAAGTTGTGTCAGATGTGTTCTTAATAGCTTGGCCATGGCAGGGGTGACTTGAACTGCTTGGGAAATGTTAATTGGAAATGAGAGGTTTAAATCAGCACAAAGTAGCAATTGTCATGAATGGTTCTTTTAAAAACCAAATGACCCAAGAGGAACCATTGTGCAAAGCACAGCTGTACAGTGTCGCTACACACTGTCAGTATTACTTAATGAAACAAAAAAGAGATATGAAATTGTAGAAATTCCAAGAAAAAAATCCCCTGAGACAAAACTGGAAGGCATGACCAAGCCTGCAGATTGCAGAACAGTTGCAGTTCCTGCTAGTTGGTGCAATGAGCACTGTGGGAGTCTCTGGCAGTAAGGAAACTCTGCTTGTGACACAGAGTTATTGCCTAGGCTTCCATTTGCAGAGGTTATTATGCCCTTTCTGTCTTACCTACTGTCCCTTTTCCTGATAATTCTGCTTTATCATGTGGTATGGTGGCACTTTTGAAACTGTCCCACCACCCGATTGAGACTGGGAGAATGTCCACCATGTAAAAGACTTGGAACTTTAGTGTAATTTTTAATCATGTAAACAAAGCTGACTCTTTTGGAGATGTGATAGACCTTAAATCTGGGTGTTTAGTGCAGAAAAGGTCCATTTTGGCTTTAAAATGTGAGTCTGAGACTTCATTTAGTCAATAATACTGTGCATTCACCATGGTCCTTTCCTTCTGCTCCTACTTATTTCCATCCCTAGTGCATGGCACAGCACAATGAGCTTTGTGGCTGTGTTAATGGTAGCATGTTCCCCAATAACACTCCAACCTCAAATCTCAGGATATTTCCAGAGAGAAAAAAGAAAACTTTGAGGAGAGAGAACTTTAACGCCCTAAGCAGCATTTGGACCTCTTTAGTACTAATCAGCTCAAGTTTAGAACTAGACAAGGAGCAGGTTGTTCCATCTGGTGACTCTTCATTCATGCCAAAATTTTTGCATGCATGAATGTGCTATATGAACATCAAGAGAAAAAAAATCCACAGCATCTAGAGGTGCTTGACTTTGGCATGTGTAATTATTCAACCTTAATATTGCCTCAATGGTCATTGCAGCAGTGTTAAAACACATATTAAATCAACACCTATTAAACCCAAATTCTGACATGAGATGTACTTTTCAGTATTCCCATTAAACTGTTTCATTAGCATGATATCAAAGCAGTTATGCAAAAAGGATTCTTTAATGGAGAGCTTATATGTCTATGCCTATGCATGCAGCAGTTAATATAAATCAAAGGATAACCCATGAATTTATTTCACTGTATTTGTATATATGAACATGTGCTTTCCCATGGTTTGTATGTGCTAATGGTTTAAAACAATTAATGTTTTTCAAAATGAACAGAAAGGCAAATCCACAGATCAGTGGGAAGTTTGAACTCTGGGGGACCACAGCAAATAAAAACCCTCTCCATGGGCTTTGCAGACGCTTAATAGTGTCCTCATGGATCTAATACAGCAAAATGTACAGTAGGATGGGGAAGGGACAGATACATTTCTGATTCTGCAGGAACAGATTAGAACAACCACTTCTGGCTGATGTTTGAATACTCTCTGCTGTGGTTTCGTGGTGTATCATTCCTACATATTCTTTGTTTTTTCCTACTGGAATGTAGCACAGGAATGCATGTAGATCTACCCAAAACAGCTGGGGAGCAAATTGGTTGGACTGGATGATCTTAGAGGTCTCCTCCAACCTTGATGGTTCTATGATTCTATGAAACTAACTGTAGCAACATGGACCTTAGCACAGCTGCAAAACCTACCACAAAGCAGGAAGGATTACTCATGAAGGAGCAATGTGCTACCATGGCTAATCACTGATTTTAAGGCTTTATAGGCATGTGTCTTGCATGGTTTGCAATGCCCTGTGGGTGTCTTAAGTGACCATTCAAACAAAAAACTAGTAGGACATTTTCCTCCAAACTCTTGAGGCTGATATTGCCCAAGCTCTGATCCTGGAATTGGTTTGCCTTTGGCTGGGCTGGTAAAAGCCAGTAGACCTAACTGTCCATGGCTGTTTGCAATTATAATTCCTATGAAGTAGATTATTAAATGTATTTAGGCATTGAAAAATCATTCAAAGTAATGTGAAATACTGTGTAAAGAAACATATTCGTGTAGATGAGAAACTGAATTAAAGACTTGCCACTCATCTCAGACACTGCAAAAATAGCACCTTCCTCACAGGTTCTACAGTATCTGGAAGTGATAAAGCACACAAAATCAGAAACTTTTACATTTGAACAGTTCAATGTCCTTGTTTAGTTCATATAACAGTACAACTAACTTCAAAGTGATCACCATATACTTATCATACATGATGCCTATCTCATCATAGGGAAAGGCCTATGGGCTAGTGAACACATCATTTACATGTTCAGTTGCACAAGTTTCCTGGTGTAATCAAGCAAGGCTACATTTTGTGAATATGGCTATTTTAATGTTTGGAATTTTGGTCTTCCATCTTACTTCAGTGAGGAGTACTTTATGTCTTATCTACATATAGATTTTGTATATAAATAAGTGTATGCAGCTATGCAGTGCTGCTGTCTAAATGTTCAAAGGGCAAGATTCAACTCACATGTCTTTTGACATTTAAAACTTAGATATCCAAGCACAATTTGGGCAATTCTATTTCAGCTAATGAAGTGAATATGGTGTATACAGGATGGTTTTAGGCTGGAGATTAGCAACTGGTTCTTTTTTCCCCAGAGGTGTTTGGGCACTGAACAGCTCCCAGGGCAGTGTCACAGCCCCAAGGCTGACAGAGCTCCAGAGGTGTTTGGCCAATGCTCTCAGCACAGGGTGTGACTGTCAGGGATGTCTGTGCAGGGCAGGGGTTGAACTGGATGATCCTCAAGGGTCCTTTCCAATTCTGATGATTCTGTGATAATATTATGTATAGAAAGAATTAAAATGTGTCCTACAGTATTTCAAAATAGATGTGAGATCATATAAGTTTCTTATCTGACTTACAGTTTTGGTCTCTGTCATTGAGACTTTTACTAGATAGAAGGAAAATAAAAAAAGTGGCAAAAGAATGACCCAAAGTACAGCTTTGCTATTCTTGTGTGAATTTCTGGGGCTTTTTATTAGATTGTTGCTGAAAAGACAGCAATGTAGCAAATCCCTATTTAATTAAAAATTAGAAATAGATTCCAGAAGTCCTGTGATTAGGAATCCTATCTCTTGGGCTCATATAAGTATAGAAGAATTTCATCAATCATGTAAAAATTACTGAATTCAGCCTCTAGAATGACAAAGAAAAGGTAAATTTATGGTTTCTGAAGAGTTAAAAATAACTAATATAGCCTAAAATATAAATTGTTTGACAAGAATTACTGTTAAGGCTGATCTTAGAATTTTTTGTACCCAAACCCATGCACTTTGTATGGTTCAGATTGCCAGTTCTGTAAACCTCGTTAGAGTGTGGAAGTTCCTATAATTATTTTGAAATATTTGTTTGGGTGGTACAGTTACTCACTCAGGAGATGAAAAGCTGCATCAGGATTTAAATGATCTATCCACTCATGCGAGCAGCTCAGCATTTAAGGATCCTAATCAGGCTCATTAAAGCCAATCACAGAAATCCCTCTGACCCAGTGGCCCAGGATCACATCACTCAGCAGCAGTGCTTGGGGTGCACGTACTGGCAGAAGTAGCTCTGTATTTTCAGATCAAATCACAAGCAAACTTGGGAAAAGCACACAGCCTCTCCTGAGAGTCATTTAAGGGTGTAGTAGTCAGCACAAAGTGATTAAACTCACTTTGGAAATCAAAAGCTGAAACAGAGAATTCACTTTGTCGCAGATCATTCCTGAGAGCAAAAGATGTACATTACAGACCTTAAAAATCTTAACAGAAATACTAGATATTTTCTAAGAAATAGCTTTCCTAGGAGATATGTGAGCATTGTTTTGTTGCAACATCTGCAAGACAACTGGAATCATCTTTCATTCTGTCATACTTTTCCCTCTCTTCCCTTTCTCTCTCTCTCCCTCTTCTACCCTGTTTTACTTCTCTTCCTGCTTTCTGGTTTACCCTTTTAGCAGTACAGGATCAAGAAAAGCTACAAGGCATTTGCAGCAATCCCTACAAACACATTGCTTATGGAACAGAAGGTTAGTGTTTGCTCCCAGTCGTGGGCGTTGCGTTGTGTATTTGAGACCGTTCAACTTCATGTACGTATTTCTTCTGGGGGATCCTGCACAATGTAAATTCTGGGAACTGACTGCTCAGGATTATAATTCCAATCATTGCTCAGGGTCAAACACTTTCCACCAAAGATCAGAGACTTTGTTAATCTGAATTTCTGCAAATCAATTTACTGTAAAAAGGAAAAAAAACCAAACCCTGTGTCCTAAAGGAATTGCCTTTTATGGCAACATGTCAAAATCTGTTTTGTTGCTGGAAAGTGTCTGGAGCACTGCTGTTGTGGGACCTGATTATTTGCAGATTTGGGTCAGTTAATGATTATCCAGTGGCTATACTGTTAAATTTAACATCCCAATGTATGCAATTTTAACTAGCTATATTGCTCAACTGTGAGAACTGTCCTGGCCATTGCTCTTCTCCCTGAACACTTTAACAGTTAGCATGGGCCAGGGGCCCATTCCCAGGATATAATTTGGGATAACAATCCCTTTCTGGAGTGAGGGCAGAAGGTCAGAGGGGCTGATTCTTCTCCTTTACTCTGCTCTGCTCAGACCCACCTGGAATACTGAACACAGTTCTGGTGTCCTCAACATCAGAAGGACATGGAACTGTTGGAGCAAGTGCAGAGGAGGCCACAAAGTTGCTAAGAGCACTGGAGCATCTCCCTGTGAGGACAGGCTGAGGGAGTTGGGGCTGTTCAGCCTGGAGAAGAGAAGGTTGTGTGGAGATGTTGCCCAGGGAGGCTGTGGCTGCCCCAACCCTGGCAGTGTTCACAGCCAGGTTGGATGAGCCTTGAGCAACCTGCTCTGGTGGGAGATGTCCCTGCCCAGGGCAGGGGGTGGGACTAGATGATCACTCAGGTCCATTCCAACCCCCAAAATTCTATAATTCTGGAGGATAAGAAACAGATCCAATGAACAGACTTTAGTGCATTAATTTATTACTTAAATCACAGCCAACAAGGGCTGAGTTGTGTAGTCCTTATTTAGATAATGCAACTTTGAAAGTCAATTGAAAATATAAGTGTTGCATGAAGGGTTCAAAAGATGTTAATTTACTAAGCATTTTTCCCAAATTAGTTTTGCACAAAAAAATAGCTCACTAAGTTTGAAGAAATTTTGTCTGATGATCAATGAGCTAAGTGTCTTACAGGCTTAAAGACATGTTTATTATCACACTGACATCCAGCTTGTAGCTTTATCAGAAAAAGCTTTCTGTTCAGGAACTTAGCCTCTGATTCATTCCTGTAAGATTCATCATTCCTGACTGCACATCTAAATATTTATTCACATACACAGCTCAGTTGATTCCACTAGAAGTTTGAAGAGTCTAAAGATATTGCAGAGGGTGAACTTAACTGTGTACAAGTTTTGAAGATGGTAATTTTGTCCTTGAAATATCTCTGATTATGATATTATCAGTTAACTGCTATAAATTAGATTTTTTTTGGGGGAAAACCAGGAGACATTCCTTTCCTTTCAAATGTTCTTTTAGTCTTGAATGATTATGTTTACTTTAGCATGCAATGCTGTGCAAGAGAATAGAGGAAAATAGCTGATGCAGGAGATGCTACACCCCTCTAGAATGCATTTTGGGAGGGTTTTGTTTGGGCAGAGAGCATGTTAGTGCCTGGGAGCATTGGGTGGATTCTTGAAGTGCCACTTCAAGGTTTACTTCACCTGAAAGACATCTGGTTTGTGCACTCTGAGACTGCATCTCTCTGCGAGCCAAGCCAGGTAGGTGACTCTGAGCAGGGTATTCTCTCTTAGAACACACTCCTGGTGTGCACTAGTGGGTTAAGGTCAGACATCTGACTGCACTTTTCAGAAGAAAAAGAGGTTTCTTTTGCTGGTCTTGCTGGTGCTCTCTGGGGCATTGACTCACAACCTGTGTGTTCCTTATCCCCAGTAGGTAAAACTGAATTGTGTAATCTAATGCCACTGTCTGTAGAAAAAGTAATGACTCAACAGATCTCTGTGTTTAAACAGACTTTTGGTTGTGCTCTGTTTCATTGGGAATGGTTGCCTTGTTGTATCCTTTGGCAGTGAAAGCACAGTCATGTCAAACTAATAAGAAATCAATTCTCTGCTACAGGATTTGCCTTCAGGAGAAGCTCTTGACTCATTTACTTTGTAAACTGTATGTTTCAACATGGCCTGACTAAATGCTTTCTCCCATCTTGGGTATGGATAAGGATCTCCTATTGATCTGTACCAGCAGATAATTGCAGTGCTCCTAAACTAATCCTGTTGTGTTAGCTGAGATGTGTTTAGTGTGTGGCTCTTAAAGAAAACATAAAGTCAACACATGGCACACACAGACCCCATTGCACCAAGCCTTAATAACCAAGTGTTCTCAAAAATGTTGGTGAGGAAACTCATGTGACATAACTCAATGACAGTAATTATGTTGCTCCTATTTTATGCACTGGATTAAAAAGAGAGAGATTTAAGACCATAAGACTTTAACTACCGAAGTGATATTTTATTAGCATTAAAATAACAGGGTTTTTTGGGTTTGCTTTGTTTTTCTTTTTTTTTTTGGCAGGGAAGGAAGGCACATAGTATCTGCAAGGCAGAGCTATTACCAAGCTGAATGCATGATTAGAAATACAGCATGTTTTTTAGGCTACATTTTTTAGCCTAAAGTGCCAAAAAAATGTTTTGCTATGTGATTGAATTGGAAATGTACAGTCAGAAGTCAACTATTTTTTTCCCACTGTGTAAGTATATTACTTAATTTGAGTGGTCATGAGAAATAAGATCAGTCAGAATTGTGATGTGGGTGATCCTAGTGACAATTCTGCTGCAATATTAATTAGATGCCATGACAGAAAACTGGCACTGATGTGTCATGTAAGGCACAGTTATTTGTCTGTCTCTGAATTGTCTCCTTCTGTCTTTCTTTCTCATGCCAGTGTTTTTTCTTTCCTATTTGTATAGATGCCTTAATTTCAGTCAGCATTTTTCAACTTCTTCTTATGAAACCATTAGGCTGTCATCATCTTAAATGTTTTTTTCTAGAACTTGTTCTTCTTACCCTTCAGTACTCTTACTCAAAGAGAGTTGTTCAAATATGTGCTCATTAGCAGAGGAGCAAAAGCTGATTGACTATACGTGCATATACTTTGACTAACCCACAAGTGGCTTAATCTCATCAAATCTCCTAACTGGCTTATTTCCCAGCTGAGTTTGTATGAACATGTTGTTCCTCACATCACCTGTGCTCTGCTCAGAAACAGCCCAACCCAGGATATCTCTTGGAAGATTGGGCTGTAACTTCTTCAGAGACAGAAGACCAAAGCTTGTTTTTAAGGGGCTTATCCTCAGCATGGTCAGGCTCTGTTAGGGAGAAATAAGAGCAGATTGCTCCACAGAGGTGAATCAGGAGCTGGGGTGGCAGGACAGTGTCCTCACTAGCAAGGGCACAGCTTCAGAGTGCCTGAGCATGGAGAGCAGAGATGCTGACAACAAGTTGGTGATAACTAGGGTCAGTCTGCAGTGCTATAGCCACATAGATTCATAGCAATGAGGCAGGTCCAGAGACTGTGATAATGAACTCTTCAGCCTGGCAGATAGACTCAGAATTGATGACAGGATGATAGAATAGATGACAGGGTCCACTGGCCAGAAGAGGAAGCTGAACAAGTTTAATATAGGCATAAGGCAAAAGTTTAACAGAAAGAATTATTTAACCATTAGAAAAGATTTCCAGAGACTGAAATGGGCTCTTTATCACAGAAATTGAAAAATCAAGGCAGGATACTTTTCTAGTCCTTCATATAGTCATTTCATGCAGTTCTGTGGTTTAAAGGTGAGGTCAGATTAGGTGAGCCCTGTAATTCCTCCTGGTCTGATTAACACTGAGACAGTCAGTCACCCCTCTATGACACCCACTCTTGTATAGCTTCTCCACTCAGGTAGATGTGATCACAGTCTGATTCAAAATTCTGTGGCTAACCACATATTATTGCAAAAGTAATATGTCTATTATTTAGAGATTCTATGTGTCAAATCTCTCTTACAATACCTTTCAGTCAGATAGTGGTGAAGAGTTTTTTTCAGGGAGCTGCAGAAAAGTTCAAAACTTTGAATATCTCATGGTAAGAAAGAGGCAATGGTTTGTGTAGTTTGAGAGGGATAAAGGACCTACTTTGTCTGTAAAAATAACCAAATATGCCAATGTAGGAGCAGCCTATGAGCTCTCTCTTTCTTTCAAGGGCCTTGGAAGTAGACAGTCTCTTAAACCAGATCCTACTTCACCTTCAGAATGATGTAAAATTTGAGGTGTAACCCAAAAACTCCTGGAGGATTTGGATTTACAAACAAAAAAAAAGTCTTCTCTTAACAGTGCAGTGGTCTTTGGTCTACAGCAAAGTCTGTGCAGGGGAATTTGGGTTTGCTGTCTTTGTCCAGCTACACACACCCTCTACATGCTGATTGGGGTGAACTTCCCTTATCTAGGGCATCATTTTCTTGGGAAGGGAATCTGAGCATATGGACTTGGTGGGGAGAGGCACTGCAGGTGTTCTGTTCAGACTTCCCCCAGCCTGAACTAGGGATGGAGTGTGACACACCCCAGGATGATGGGATGTGCCATAGAGTGCCATGAGGAGAGGCTGAGGGAGCTGGGGGTGTTCAGCCTGGAGAAGAGGAGGCTCAGGGGAGACCTTCTCACCCTCTGCAACTCCCTGACAGGAGGTTGGAGTCAGGTGGGGGTTGGTCTCTTCTCCCAGGCAACCAGCAGCAGGACAAGAGGGCACAGACTCAAGCTCTGCCAGGGGAGGGTTAGGTTGG